ATGTTCAAGGTTCTGACAAAACAGCAAAGTTTCTAAACTGGAGAATAGAGAATAGAGAGAGAATAGATCATTAATCAAGGTAGATAACTTACGTGAGTGTTCCAGTTCTCTATGTTGTATTGATGATGAAGGTACTGCATCTGGTACGGAACTAGGATTAGTAATATTATAGTGGAAATTCTGATACGCTTTTTCTAAATTCTATAAAAAAAAGGCATTTCTTTGTGATGCATTTTATTTGAAATGACGAATATAAAAAGATCTTCTGGAAATAAATGTGCATGATGGGTAATTCAGGAAATTCTTGGTTAACTTCAGGGTCCCTGAATCCTTGTAATATATGGTTGTCATAACTTTTTTTCTGCAAATATGACAAAATACTTATACAATCCACAATCCAAGACATGAATTGTCGCTTGGGCTCTGATTTTGTACTAAAAAAATTTGAAGAATTAGAGACCCAGTGAACTGACAATTTTGAGGTTTTGTACAAAGACACTGTAAATAAATCAATCTCTGTTGAACTGGAGAAGATTATGCTGGGGCTTAATTCTCACTTGCTGGGGCCCAGCCCCCATGGACCCCACCCGAACGATGGGACTGATCCAAGATAGTTCTATCAAAAGAATAAAAGGAGACATATTAAGAAATTTACAACAAACAGCTCTACAAACCTTGGCCTCTTTTTCAAGATTTTTCAGTCTATATTTAGCATCAGCTACAACGTCTGCTGAGTTATTGGTAGCCGTGGAGATATCTTCTGATGATAGATGTTCGTAGTCACCAGGTGTCACTCCGACGTGAATTTCAAGGTCAGAGTCAATATCATTATAAACATCTTGTGTTCGATAGCGAGCAGGAAGTCTGGATTGTTGGTGACTACGGGTTGACGTCTGCAAACCAGGTGTAGCCGCTGTTTGAAATTCAACATGTTTCTCTGACCGTTGTGAAGCATGCATTGAAGATCTGAAAGGTAAAACCAATTATCATTTAACCTAAGAAATATATTGAATATTGTAGTTATCAGGAACCTTCAGACATCAAAATCAAGTCATTGGAAACGAAAAGATCAAAACTGGTTGCATGAAAATTATATATGATTCAGAAATTTATCTGTTATGTTCATAAATCAGACATATTTGTCATCATTTACAGAAAAAATTGGTATGAAACAGACACATTTCCCAATTAAAAAAAAAAATTTCTCACCTTCCGTCCATTTCTGAGTGAGGTCTTCTATATACTTCATTATTCAAGGCTGAAAAAAGAAAGGAAAAATAAAAACAACTATAGAACTACAGTCAGTAGTGTATATATGTATAAATAGCTGCTTTCAAGCTGATAGAGCTTAATTTCAGCTGTCCATAATACTTTTCAAAATAAAATTCTAACATCTAGTTTGTATCCAATGTATTTACTAATTGCATTTTTACTGAAAGAGCTTGTCTTGTGTGCTTTATATCATATATCTTACCTATATTGGTGACTGATAAATGTTGGCGTAGATCAACAACCTCTCGATTCATATCTTTCATTTGTAACGTCTGTTCTTCATATCGACTCATTAACTCTCGATTACGATCAATCTTAAATAGACAAGATGTGAACTTGCTAATAGTTGTTGTCTGGATCCTCTCTGGACAATTTATTTGTGGTCTGAATGATTGTGTAAAGTGATGGCTATTTAACGTGCTGAAGACAGACTGAAGCTAAGTCAATAAGAGAGTATAGGAAACATGTTGTCTTTTTAAGTCTGGTTAAGTGAAACAAGTGGCTTCTTATCTTGGTCAACTTTCCTAATTGTTCCAGTCATTCTAGCTATAACTGGTCACGGATAATCTGGGAAACATCAATGCCAAGAAGTTTATAGGCAATTTCCAGCTTGTAGACAGGATCCTCTTATGCTCCCCTCACATTTTTGTAAAATATGGATGTTGTTTTCTTCTCTGATCTTATTAAAAATAACCCTACCTCATCTTTTAGTCGAGATTCTAGAAGTTGTTTCTGTTGTTCGAAGACAACTTGCTCTTGGCGTAGATTTTCTCTGGCTCGTTCCATGTCTCTCTGCATCATCAGAGTTTCTGGTGTAGGCCGCCTCATTTCACGTAACAACTCTTCTTGTCCTATAGTATGGGGGAAGTTAAATTGTTTGTTAACTAGCATGTATATTGACACTTATCTTTTGATCGATTTTCAAAGGTATATCAAAGCTTTAATATGCTCCAATTGATAAAAGGAGATATAGAATCTATTTGCTTCAAGATCTAACATAATTTAATGCTTTAATCTATGAACTCATAACTTATAAGAGTGCTCATAAATCTGACTTACTTCCCCTTTCTCTTTCATTCATATTCATCACTTCTGCTAGTCGACTGAAAAAAACAACAACATATAATTATAATACTAAGATATGAAAAAGATTTTGGAATTGTGTTTATTGTGATTATGTGCAATCCTACTAAATCAAGGCCAAGGTTAGATCTTAGTATAGGTCAAGATACAGGTGAGTAATGCAGGTGACAGGAAAAGTTACTAGGTAGAACATTAAACTGAGATTTCATGTACTACAAACTGTGCATGTTAAATATTTCTTGACAGTGGGAACTGCTGTCTTGGCAAAATTAAACTATTTGCACACTGCATTGTGTTGCCAGTCTTCATTAGTCAATAAGGTGCATGAAAGTTTTATGTAAAACACTGTTTCAAATCATCTATCAACTTTACAGTGTCATAAAAGTATAGAATCACTTACTTTCTGAGAGTTTCCAGTTCATTTCTCTGGGAGACATTTTGTTCTTTTAAAGTAGAGTAGTCTGTCATCTGTAATAATAGAAATAATAATTACAACATTTTAATACACTCTTCAACAGTTCCTTGTACATCTTAAACACACTGGCTTTAACAAGTTACAGTCATGCAATTTGTTAAAAATATCTGTACTATTTGTCAGTATGTCTGCAGTATGAGATGAACTCTCATCAATGATAAAGGGACAGGACCCATTTTGAGGTGTTGATTTTAATCTTTAGTCTTCAGAAGTACTAGATATGTATGAAAATCACATAATTCCTTTTAAACTACTTCAAACTGACCTTTCCTATACATGTCTTTTCTATACATCACAGAGTCATCATTTTAACATTCAATAGCTGATAATTCTAGACACCCGTGGATTTGAAGGCTCAAATTTGGACGGTGAGCTTTGAACGCTAAAACTGATTGGCTTAGCTAAAAAATTCATATTTCTGAGACAAAAGTATGATTAGTGAAAAAAATGGCCTGACTGTCCCCTTATGTATTTAACAGAAACTTACATCTCTAAGTTTAGAATTCAGATATTCATTATGTCTGGTAGCTGAAACTTCTTTATGTCTTGCTTCTTGTAATAGTGTCTAAAAATGATATCAATCATTGTCAATTTCTGTCATTTTCTTTGTAACATACAAATAGGAGCAAAGAAAATTTGAAAAAATAATTAATGGATACAAAAACCAATAAACATGTGAAGTTTTGATTGCTTGAAGAATCAAAGGTTGGATTTTAATCCTGAAAACTGATAAGGCTGTGTATTCTCAAAACAATCTAAGTGCTAGGATATCTTAGAAACAGTGTTAGAAGTTAAGACCCTAGGATATCTTAGAAACAGTGTTAGAAGTTCAGACCCTAGGATATCCTAGAAACAGTGTAAGAAGTTAAGACCCTAGGATATCCTAGAAACAGTGTTAGAAGTTCAGACCCTAGGATATCCTAGAAACAGTGTTAGAAGTTAAGACCCTAGGATATCCTAGAAACAGTGTTAGAAGTTAAGACCCTAGGATATCCTAGAAACAGTGTAAGAAGTTAAGACCCTAGGATATCTTAGAAACACTGTTAGAAGTTCAGACCCTAGGATATCCTAGAAACAGTGTAAGAAGTTAAGACTCTAGGATATCCTAGAAACAGTGTAAGAAGTTAAGACCCTAGGATATCCTAGAAACAGTGTTAGAAGTTAAGACCCTAGGATATCCTAGAAACAGTGTTAGAAGTTAAAACATTAGGATATCTTAGAAACAGTGTTAGAAGTTAAAACTCTAGGATATCTTAGAAACGGTGTTAGAAGTTAAAACTCTAGGATATCTTAGAAACAGTGTTAGAAGTTAAAACTCTAGGATATCCTAGAAACAGTGTTAGAAGTTCAGACCCTAGGATATCCTAGAAACAGTGTTAGAAGTTAAGACCCTAGGATATCCTAGAAACAGTGTTAGAAGTTAAGACCCTAGGATATCCTAGAAACAGTGTTAGAAGTTAAGACCCTAGGATATCCTAGAAACAATGTTAGAAGTTAAAACTCTAGATCATTTCTAGAATATGTTGTAAGGAATTATAATAACTATTACCTCTAATTCATTAACTCGAGCTGTTTTATCTCTGATATCATCTTTATACGACTGAATTTTATCTTTTTCTTCACTTACTTGTCTCTCATTTTCTATAAACACATAAATAAACAATCTATCTACAAAAAACTCAAAATATTGTTGTTTCAAACGTACCTTTCATCATCAGATAGAGCATTTTGGATTGCAGTTTGAGCTGAGCAGTGAAGGCAATAAATGGAGGGAATTGCCAACATCAAGTACACAAAATATAGCCTCATATCTGACTCAGGAGAGATGTATATCTCTCAGATTGAAATCAATGCCACTCAATGGTATTGGACTGAACAACTCTATGGGTTATTACCAGGACCATTGATTGAGCTGTTTATTACAGACACGAATGACAAATGTCGTTTTTGACAAGGGTTCGTTGGACATTAAGTATAACTTGGAGTGGAAGCCAAAATACAAAACTCGTTGGAACAAAACAAAATCAGTGTTGTCACTATCAGAGTATGAAAATAAATCAATTGATTACTAATGGCCATGACCCAGCTTCTACTAACCTTTGACCTTCACCTCCCTGACCTCTATATTTTGAGTTCTATTTATAAATCTAGCCTGTTGATCCAGTTTAAACTTGGCCATTTCATTCTCTAACCGTTGTTGAAATTCTAATTCTTGTCTTTTGATTTCTAGTTCTCGATGTTTCAAATCCTCCATTTTGTCTTTTATCCGCTGGTCTTGTAATCTTTTCTCTCTAAAAATTAATTTGAAACAAAATTGTTGAGGAACTTATGATTTTTTAATCTCATTTTTAATGTCATCTTTTAACGCCCGTTTCTAGGAACTGCTGATGAAATAGCACTAGTTGTTGACTTATATTTTGTCAATACGTAAATAATGGGCTTCTCCTGGGGAAATGAGATCAGATTTCACAGGTCATTAAAGTATGTCCAATTAACCAAAAAAATATATCCACAGCCAGGATAAAAATTTAACTTTTGATTTCATTTACTATTTTCTTAAGGATTTATCTGTCAACATTTTGATATTGTCTCTTAAGTACAGGTTTCTCAGTAAATGTATTGAAATTTTGAATAACTTAGACAGGCTAGAGATCATATGCTTTTTTTCATAACTGACCTTTGGTTGACCTCAGCTTCCCGTTTGACCTCAGCCTCCCTCTGATGTATACAACTTATTTCTTCTTGTAAAGTTTGACGTTGTGAGTGCATCTCTTTATCTCGAATCTTCAATAAAATAACTGTTTGTTAAAAGATGAACCACCTAGCAGAGATTAATCTAAGAAAACATTTTTAGTGAGCAAAATTTTAGAAGCACTTTTTCGAAATAACAACAAAAATCAAATCAAAAATGTCAATAGTGATTGAAAATTAATGTGTATTAAACCAGATTAAAATATCATAAATATTTTAAAACAGAAAGTTATTGGAGATTAATGACAATAATATTTACCTCTTGTTCTCTATGTAATCTCTCTGTAGCGTTTCTCTCTCTAACTAATAGTGAATCATAGCGGGTTTGATAATCTCTCTCCATCTACAATTATACATAGTTTGATAAAATCAACTATAAAATATTTCACTATTAAAACAGTGCTAAATACATCAATTATATTGATTGCACAGTGTGACTAATTCAATCCACGTAGTCAGATACCAGCTATCATGTAAAATAATATATCATTTGCTTAGTCAGAAACTTCTGAAAACATAGCACTTTCTTTTCTTTGAGTGGCATGTAACAGAAATCAAAGGTATTATTAGGTCACTATAAAATCTAAAATATCAGATATGACTGGTAAATATGACAAATAATACTTACATCACGTCGTAGCTGATCTAACTCTTTACGACATTTTTCTCTTTCTTCTATTTTTAACTTAGTTAACTCATTTTCTCTCATTCTACGAATCTACAAAAAAAATCAACAAATTTTAAACTATAAGATTTTGTTATTTGAAAACAAAAAACTAAAACAGAAAGTATCACATACATATCAGAATGTATACATGACTGCAGAGCAACGAGATGTTTCATTATTTTTGTTTTAAACAATTAGCAGAACAGCGTTTGTTAGTCATTCCAGTGTTTGGAGCTGCCAAGGACTTCTGAATCGCCTGACACACAACGTCTTGCAGGATAGACACGAACAGATCCATTGGATCATTTGCCCTAAATCCTCAAGTATTAATCCAGAACCAGTACCTAGAAATTGAAATAAATTTAAATTTTTCAACAGTTTTAGCTAGTTTATCGATCTCAAGGGCAATAACTCTTGGTAAGAAATAAATATCAACTAACCTCTTGTTTTAACTGTGATTGATATCGTTCTTCCATTTGTTTCTGGAAGTTAAGAATCCTTTCCTCTGTCAACATGGAGGTAGATTTATACATATCATCTCTTTTACTAGAATATAACTGATCTAACACTTGTAGTTTCTCATCTATAATAAAATAATGAAATTGGCTACAGAAAAACTAAATCAGATATCAACATAGAGTTTTCTTGAGAGTATATAATCTATATTAGAGTATAGCAGGTCTATCATTGGGCACTCAGGATCTGATCTTGATGCCCACCAGTAATTAATGACCTTATCTTTTACCCTAAAGAAATAAAGATACTATTATTATTATTATTATAAATATTATAGCACTTTTAGTTTCTCATCTACAATAATTGTATTTAAAAGGTTTACAAGTGACAAGCTCAATCAAAAAGTGATATCAAATTTAAAGTTGCTTATAAAAAGATTTCAACTTTGGTAGAAAAAATCTTATGCTTTGACCCAAGCTTTTTTAAGATCAGAAATTCTGTTTTCTTTCACCACATAATCATGCTTATAAATGGAGTTCTATTTTATAATTGATAGAACTGTGTCATACATTAAATTACAACTGACCTAATGATGATATAGGACCAACTTTAATAAGATCAGTCTGAACACCAAATTCTTGAGTGGCGCTGGCATGAATAGCAGACATCTCAGATAAAAACTTCCATAAAAACCCTGAAATAGTAGAACTATTGATGACAAATTTCATGGTGAATATGTTTCAGTCTGGGATGTGTTCACTCCTTCTGAAACACCCAGTCAAACAGTTTTTTTTACTCTTTTCCAATGTCCCCTTTAAGCATAATTCGATGTATGATCTTATCAAAAGTCTGTGATTCTGCATTACACTAAAAGATTTGAAATGACTTCCTTTGAAACGTGTGTTTGTCTTAAATACTTGAAAAATATGGTAATATGGTACCTTTTCCAGTTTTTTCATCACATGACATCTGAAATATAAAAAAGAAATTGATTTGGGATTTGTATTGATGCCTGACAATGGCATTTTGGGGCATCTTAATGGCAAAATCAGAATATATTTGGACATCCATCTATGGTAATAAAAGGGATACAGATATCTGCAATAATTTTCACATTAAGTTTTCATTGGTCATTGGTCATGAGAATTCCAAAAGAGGTCAATTCCATAGTATTTTTGACACAGAGTTTGTGCATTGGAAATAAAGAATTAATGTTGAAATAAACTTACCAGCTGTTTATAAAGTCTAGATTGAGGACTGATATGTAATAACTGTAGAAAATCTTCTTTACTAAATACCTACAAAAAAAATATTTAATGTCAAATCAGTAAGCTTACACTTTTATACCAGTCTAGCTCCAACCAGTTATAAGACATAAAACAGTAAAAACAGTAAGGAGTTAAATATATACATTAAAAACATAATCAAATCAAATGGAGGGAGAAATAAGTTGAAATATCAAGAGGTACTGTCTGGATATATACCAGAATCAAACCATGGATTTTGTTAGTGTCTAATAATATTGAAATGATTTCTAAGATATTAAAATTGTCAAAACTCTACCTTATCCTGTGAGAGTCCACTCTCTGGTAGAAAAACACTATTGGTGTAGTCATAGCCATAGCTACGTAGATGATCAACTATAAGACTATTGGCTGCTCGATGAAGCAGTGAACCTTCTTCTGGTGTTTTTAAATCCTGTAACGTCAGTCTTCCTTTTAATGATTGTTGCAGCTCTGTTACCAGACTGTTTCTTAATTGTGACTGAAATTATAACTGAAGCAATGAAGAAAGGAAAACTAAAAATATGAGATTATCTATATCCTAGCCAATTGATCTGTGCATTAATGAAATATAAGCTTATATATGAAGATGAAGAATTTTGACAAGGAAGGTACAACTACTGTATTTTCATTTTCACCTGTCAAGAGATTATCATGAAAGTAAGCTTTTAATACCCTTTTCACAAATCAAAGCAACTAGCTCCCTGAAAAATAAATGGTCTGAATTGCTGAAAGTGATATTGATTATCAATGGAAAGTATTAGTCTACAATGTGGCAGGGTGCATTTTTAAAGAAACTTGGTTGTTTTATTTAATCGTTGTTTTATCTTAATGCACCACTACTGTTTTAATAAGCACATAATTACTTTACACTGACCTAATACTAATGTTCTAAGTATTGCCCTCTCTTAGTCCCTATATTATGTGTTCAAGTTCAAAACACATTCTTATTGAATGTTCTGTGCAATAAACTTAAAACTATTCACTTTCAAGTATACCACCAATGACAGATGGAGTCACGTGATGTAAACAAACAAGACTCAACATGACATCATTAAAGGCGGTAGCCTTTGAGGGCTCGTCCTTCCCAAACTACGGTTTCTCGTGAACTTTATTTATTCTTTGACCCATCACTGGATCATATCCTTCAAAAATATTAATAAGGGTTCTCCGTCCTACCTTTATTGTGTTCACCATTCCTCTATTTCGTAAACTGTGATAAAGCCGACTTCGCAGCTCATCAGCTGACATATATTCAGGGGCTCCTTTCTCCATGTTTGTCCGCTTCTAAAAGTCTGAGAGCAGACCACACTTTCAGAAACTATCAGTATTCTTTGCCTCTCTCCCTGAATGAATAAAGATGTAATTTTCAATATTCAAATAACAGTTGAAGGAAAAAATCTTCGAAATATTTTCAGAAGGCGGCCATTTTGACGCTTTTAACCGGAAGTTACAACTTTGCCCTCACGTCAAGACAAAATACACTCTGACTTGCCAAATCGGACAGAACTGAAATATAATTGGATACAAATCCAATCATCCAACTCCAACTTAAGTGACACTGATGGCTAAAAGATTGCAGATGAGTCGTGTTTTGTTCGTAATAACTCATAATTATCTAAATAAGGAAAATTTTGCAGAAAATTGTATAGATTTTGTTTATCTATCGCCTATTTAATAATTGTTTTTCTGTCTACTTTCAAAAAATCGAATGTGCCGTGAGAGAATTAGCTATTTGAGGTAAAATTCTAATTTAGATGTCCGTTTTCTTTAACTCGGTTGTTGTCTGACAAACATTCAGTCATCATCTCTTCAGCACTATTTGAGGAGGTAAATCTCGTATTTGGAAGCGATATGTCCACCCTGTCCACATTTCCATCTTGTTTCATATATTATATGAATACATGGAGAAACTCGTGAATAATATATGAGTGCGAACAATCCTTTCTTATATGAATTAGGTCTTTTTGAATGGTTGACGCCTCATACTAATATTTTTGAATAAAGTGAACTATATATGGCTCCATCTGTTTATTCCTATTTATTGATAAGGACATGAATTCTTCCAGGTTTCTATATCCATACAGCGCTGATGCATATTGTTATCTGTTTTATATACTTTCTATGCTGGATACTATGTTCGTCATCAAATGAGATTCTTCTTTAAATCGTTTCCTGTGGGTTTTTGACCCAATGGCATAAAAAATTTTCATACTTTACAATCAAAAACAGTTTTAAAAAAAACTCACTGAATTCCTTACACGTCACCATAAGCTCAGGCTCTGAAAAGTAAGCGCTAACCATCAGAAGATAGGGGCTAATGGGTCAAAAGTGGTTAGATAATACAAGTCAATGTTTAACAATGAATATCCCAGAATTCCTCATACATGTATATAGAATCCAAATCTGTTATTGAACAGATTATTTTGATTGGTTAAATATCAAATGACCTAGAATATGAGATGTATAACATTTCCGTCGGATCATTGATGTCAAGTGAAGTCCCCTCAGAAGAATAGCCACGAAACGAATATTGAGATTCGAATTTTAATTTTAATTTTATTTAGGTGCTCAACTATAGCGCAGATGATACTTGATACAGTCATCGCTGCGATTTAGGTAAAATCTATCCAATTGCATTAGGGCATTCAATAAAAAAAATCTGCCAATGTACTGGATACGTGCCTACGTTCATAAGGGATATATCATTGCTCTTTTTCAAAAGCAGAATGGGTAACGTTATTTCAAGGGCCTTGGCATTATGTAGCGCAAAATATCATTTCATCATATTTATTAATAATTGTGATATTCAACAGGTTTGATAAATACGACGATATTTCAAAATCACTTTTTTTTTATTTTCAACAAATAATATGAACAAAACCAGTAAAAAAAACATGTAAATGCTTGTAGAAGTAAAGCAAAAATTTAAAAACCTTTGTCAAGATAGAATGCTTCAAAAATGCACCAAGTTGTTCTAGAAATAAAAGTTTATGCCTAGAGGGAATACACAATATTTATTAAACTGTGCACAACGCCTACGCAAAAACTTCATCCCTGTCATAAAGAGATAGTCATCTTCACTACACTGTAAAACAGCACATAATTATGACTACTGTATTTTTTAGGGTGTGTTAGCCTCATAAAAGAAGAAATTGTGATAGAATAAGATAAGAAATGGTGCCATTAAGTTGTTCTAGTAATAAAATTTGATGCTTAGGGGGAATACACAATATCTATTTAACTGTGCACAACGCCTACGCAAAAACCTTATTCCTGTCATGTAGCAGATTGTCTTCGATTCATTGCGATAGCCTTCTACACTGCTAACTGTACTTTGCTGCATAAATTTTCAACTTACTACAATGTTGTCTTACGACAGAGGTCATATTCATATACCATTCGGCAATACTCGGTAGATTCCGTAAAGCAAAGCGCTAGCAGAACTTTCACAGTGGATAGATTGTAGTAGTAGATAGATTTTGCCATCGATTGCCTTCCATACAAATGTAAGTCAAATAGCCCGAAACACTGTATAGGTAGAATGCACAGCGAGATTGACCAACTGTGCACAATGCCTACGCAATATTTCAATTTTTCTGTTGCTCAAGTAAGCTTTCACTCGGTTGTTTTTCTCGGCTATTTTCCGCTGTTGATAAAGCTCAAATCATATCAGAATTCAAGCGTCTTTCCATTCCATACCTACAAGGCACAGGTAATCCAAAAATGAACTCCACTTAAGAAGCCAAAAACAAATGCCCTAAAAGAAACGAATCTTTCTTTCAACTTACTGTATGAACAGTCAGCTCGAATATGTATTTGTTGGAGATTTTGTCCTTTTTATACCCTTGAAACTTAGGGTTCATAACCTTCAGTCGTTATGCGAGCTTATTACATCGATAATCCGGATCCCTAAATACGGATTAAGGGTCGTGATTGGTTAAAACCTTAATCTGAATGGTACAGAAAGCCACAATTAAGCCCGATCTAACTAACTTTGGCACCGAAATTGTTTCAACTATGAGTTTTGAGGTCACAGAATCCAATTATTTTATTATTTTGGTTTTCGAGTCAATATGAGTTCATTGTCTTTCTGATGCCAATCTATCTATGACCTTAACATTGGAAGTAAAAAAGGGTAGAGGGGGGTACGCAAGGGTGGTGGTGATTAAGTATGGGGGGGGGGGGGGGGGGGGGTTTTTTCCACCCCTGATTCCGGGAAAAAATTATCCCCCTTAAAAATCTTCCATTCCCAAAAAACTTAT